CAGAGACCTTTAGAAAACTGGTGGAACGAAACAAGGTATTTGAGTTTCTTACAGGACTCGACCTTGGGTTCGACATTACTAGGCAGAACATTCTGGCCAAAGGTGAGGTCACCCTTGCTCAAGCATATGCTATGGTAAATAGTGAAGAGAGTAGGCGGCAAGTACAGTTATAGGGACCACCTACAAAACATTTTGCACATGCTGGAATAAAGCTGAAGGGTCCAATTGAAAAGAAAGAAGTGATATATGAATACTGCAAGAAACTGAGGCATACTAAGGATACATGTTGGAAACTTCATCCAGATCTTCTCCCGGATAGGTTTTGGAACAACAACAATAACAACATTTTTAAGAAGAATGGTCAGACTAAGAAGCCTAAGAATGCTAATGTCGTCATAGTCTCAACAATAAAGGAAGGGTTTGAAAAGTATGGGAGATTACTTAGCCACTTGGAGACCACTGTCTCAACATCCAACCCCTTAGGCAACACCTCACCATCCACATTTGCTCACTCAGGTACTCGTGTTTTTGCAAATCATGCTATTGTTTCAGGTAATCATAAAATCCCTTGGATTATTGATTCTAGTGCATCAGACCATATGACCACTGGACCAGTTTATCTAACCTCTTTTGTTCATATCAGCTCCTCTCCAGTAGAGAGAAGATATCCCTTGCTAATGGGTCTCTTGCTCCCATCTCTGGCAATGGGGATATCAAGGCCCTTGACACTCTTGTCTTATCTTCTGTTCTTCATGTCCCCAAGCTTAATACCAATCTTTTATCTATTAGTAGCTTGACTAAATCCATGAACTATAGCATAACCTTTTCTCCTATTCATTGTGTTTTTCAGGACTTGAAATCTCAGAGGATGATTGGGAGTGGCCATGAGGCGAATGGGATATACTTGCTAGACACACCTGATAGGAGTCTTGGACCACCTAATGGAGTAGACTTGGAATCTCTTTTGTCAGAGTCTATTGATAGTCATGTTATGTCATTTATGGTTTGGTCATTTACCTTTTTCTACTTTGAGTCACTTGTTTCTCGATATGTTTAAGGGAATGTCTTTATCGAGTCTTCATTGTAAGTCATGTGAACTTGCAAAGCATCGTAGATTTCGAGGAGGCATCTTCAATATCACCTTGACTTTAGTGGAGTCAATCTCAATTCTTCGGTGTCGAACAATGAATCAGAGAAATTTTCCTGATGTTACCCCAAATGCACATTTCAAAGGATTCATTTTGAGTTGATGTTTTCGAAGTCTTTCGGAGATTCTTCTTAGATTGCCTATATGATGGCTTCTTTTTCTGGTTTTCACAACCATATCATCAACTATCACTCTATAGTGTTATGCAACATGTCATTAAATATGACTATCATGGCCTGTTGGTAGATTGCCCCTGCATTTTTTAAATCGAAGGGAATTACTATGTAATAGTATATCCCTTTTGGGGTACAAAAAGCAATAAGGTCTTCATCCTCCGGGGTCATTTTAATTTGATTATAACCCAAAAAGCCATCCATGAAGGATAACGCTTGTTGTAGCATCAACTAATAATTCCGTGATAGGTAGTGGAAACTCATCTTTAGGACAAGCTTCATTAAGATCCCTACAATCTATACATATGCATATTTGTCCATTTTTTTTTAACAGGAACAATATTAGCCAACCAAATGATATTTAACTTCCTTAATAAAGCCAACATTTATTAATTTATCAACCTCAACCTCAATTTGCACTATAAGCTCAGGCCTAAAGCAGCATTGAGCTTGTTTATAGGACATTTATCCTTAGATATTGCTAACCTATGTACAACTATTTTAGGATCAAGTCCTGACATATCCTGATACCCCCAAGCGAACACATCCTTGTATTCTCGGAGTTATACTTCATATGCCTTAAATTCTTCTTCAGTAAGTGAAGCACTATCAAAGATGGGCTTGGGGCCTTCAACAGTACCGAGGTTGATTTCACTAAGATTATCTTAAATTTCTTAACCCCCATCTTCAAGCTTTAGTGGAGCTAGCTGAATGTCTCTGATTTCTTTAGCTGCTTGATCCACATCAAGAAGATCAGTTAACTGAGGAGCTTCTTCAAGAGGCTCTACCTATTCAAAATTTGTAAAATTAAGGTGCATATTTTGATTTTGTGATTTTGTATATCCAGAAGATTCTGGAATAAGACTCATACCTTGACCTTGAAGATCTATATTCTGATTTCCTTAAATGGAGATGTGGTTAACTTCAACCTTGGACTCTCCATCCTTGTCAAGTTTTTAATGATGATTTCTGGTCGCTTTTCTTTTTTTATGATTTTTTGGGATAGAAATGTGGGTCTGTTGAATACAAAAACTCGCTTCTTTAGCTCATCATCCTTCAAGCCTTTGAGTCGTTTGAGCACAGAAACTCATGGCTTTAATTCACTTAGGCTAAGTATAGCCTTTTCTCAATCTGTAAAGATCGGTGTCTCTGAAGTTGATGTCTCATCACTACATGTAAGATTGTCGATGCCTTTATTTGCGAAAGATAATGGCTTAAATTTGCAAAAGACAATCCTTTTATTCCTTCTATTCCTGTCTTGAAATGAAGTTGACACAATCAATTGAGTTTGAGGAATAGATTGATCAATCCTCCTCAATGGGAAAGTGTAACTTGTTGTAAGCGTTGACATCACGACGCTTTGTAATGATGTAAGAGTCTTTTCCCCCAGCCTTCTTTGACTCTTTGGAATATACCTAAAGATGGCTTTAGGTTTTGAGTCAATTTGACAACCTTGTTTCTTTTTTACTTCACTTTGAGGAAGCCTAGTAATCTTGACTTTTGGGGTCACCGACGAAGCCTTATCTATTGCTGACTTTAATTGTGCATTTATTTTGTCTCTCATGGCTTCAGGTGTAGATATATTAGAAGCTTTGTAGAACTTAGCATTTGCATAGTGAACCTGTCCCCTTAGAATGGATCAACAACTTTCTTTTCCTCTCCATCCCTGCTGAATTTAAAACATTGGTGAAGCGTAGATGGAACTACTCCATATGCATGCATCCAAGAGCATCCTAGAAGGACATTGCATGAGGTACTTGCATCAATGACATGGAATAGAGCATCTGAATATAATTCTCCAATCTTAACTTTTAAAGCAATGGTTCCCATTGCTTTTTGCCCTTCTTGATTGAACCCTTGAATAGTGAGATATGAAGGAGATAGTTGGCAGGGTGTCATACCATAATTAACAAAGTTTTCAAGGGTAGGAGATTTACTGTGAATCCACAATCAAGTAACACTCAGTTAATGGATGTATCCCCTGCTATGCCTGACACATATAATGGACAATTGTGATATTCCATCCCAAGTTGAAGATCTTCATCATCAAAAGAAATGCAGGCCATACATGAGGCACATACATTAGGGGAATTGGGTTGTATTTCAACTTGACTAACTTCATTCCTGAATTGTTTAGGATTTAGTAATGCTTGAATGGGGAAAGATGAAGGGCATCATAAACACTTAAAAATGCAGGGATACATTTTAAGTGAGCCAGAATATCATACTTAATAAGTAATCGGGATTCCCGCACTGCCTTTTGAACATGAGGCTGAACTCTTATTGGTATATCCGTTTTAGGGTCTCTTGCCTTACTTTGTCCATCTACTTTTAATTCCTCCTCATTCTCTTTGGATCCTTCCTCTTCAATTTCCGTTTGCTCATTTGGATCATTGTCATCTTCATTTGCCTTCTTGTTTGAAGATGATTTTTGTGGAGGAACATGACGTCAGATGTATTGCAGGGTGATTTGGTCCACTTCCTTTTCATTCGCTTGTATCTCTTCTTATTTGTAAGATACCATATAGCATGGCGTTATTGGGGCTATTTCCACTTTTTCTAAGCCTTCATTGAGTATTTCTTTTGGCATATACTCTTTTAGAGTAATAGGAAATCTCAAGGGCTGCTCATATTCATTCTCTGAAACCATTAGAGATTTCTTCTTGGCTTTTCTTCTTCTTGGAATTTTTTGACCCCTGAACTTAATGCCTGGAGATGGAGAGATTTCTATTTTTAAGGGTTCAATTATCCCTTTTGGCTTTTTGTTGACCACTGTCTTCCAACTTTCTTCCTCTTTTGATGTGGAGAAATCATTGAAACACAAAATGCTTGGCTCATTCATCAATTCATACAAAGAGGGACTATTTGGATTTTCTTCTTCTACAAGGGATATATTGTTTGCAGCTACAGTAGTTTCTTTTGTAAGAGATTCTGCTATTTCAATTTCCTCTTTATCTATCATTTTTTGAATGATATCTCTAAGGACAAAACGCTCTTTTAAGGGATGACTGACCATTCTATGATAGGGACAATATTTTGGATCTTTTGTCTTATTGACATCACCTGGCCGTTTTGGTTCTAGCAATTTAATAGCTTTTGTTGAAAATGGTCTTCAAAAATCCCTTCTACATCCTCATTGTTGAATGAGTATTTCTTTTCCCTCCTTAAGTGAGTTATGGATGGTTCTTCACTTGAGTCAAGAATTGGGTAGTTTCCTAATTCTAATAAAAAGACCATTTACCCAATGTTGTTTTGGGAGGGGTGCACTGGATACAGACCTGACCTTTGGCATCTTTCACATAAAGTGGCTGTGCTCTTAGATTAGAAATAAGGTTGTTCTAAGTAATCAGCGTGCTTGTTTTACAAATATGGATGTTTTTCGTAGAGAAATATTATTATTCAACGTTCACTTCAATTTCCATGCTCTATGATTGTGAATGATCTTTAGCAGATTGCTATTGTAAAGAAGTTTATAATTTTCTTCTTTAATCATTATTTATCAATTGCTACTTATAACTTTCTGCTCTTTTATTTTTCTATTTGACAATCTCTACTTCCATTACTTGTACGAACTTTAAAATACAAAAAATGTACCTGTTTATTGTGCACTAAACTGCTTTTGCCTACCACTCAAAAACCTTTGTCCGCAATTTCTTTACTTCTGAATTTGACTGTAATAGGCCTGGGGTAGGCAAGACTACTGTCATGCGGGAAATTGCACGTGCATTAGCAGATGAGCTTCACAAACGAGTGGTGTGTTAAGCATTGGATTATGAATAATCTCCTTTCCTAACTGTTATAAATTTACCAAACACATCATCGAATTGTACTGATGGTTTGGACAGGTAATTGTTGACACTAGCAATGAAATAGGAGGGGATGGTGATGTTCCACATGCTGCAATTGGTGGTGCACGAAGAATGCAGGTTCCAGAACCATCCATGCAACACAAAGTCATGATTGAAGCAATAGAGAATCACATGCCAGAGGTAATAATTGTTGATGAGATTGGCACTGAGGCAGAGGCACTTGCTTGTCGTTCAATTGCAGAAAGAGGAGTCATGCTCATTGGTACAGCTCATGGGGAGCGACTTGAGAACATAATAAAGAACCATACACTTTGTGATCTGGTTTGTTTATTTTTCCGTTTCTGTCTTCTTTATTTTTTACATTGTTCTCCAAACAATATTTTCTACTTTTTTCTTGCCATGTTTTTATTTGTTTTTTTTTACCTTTTATTTTGGATTCATATACAACATCTGGGCATCACAAAATGAGAGTTCTCCAAGCCCAATTATGAATTTTATTTAGAGATGCTGGTTGACAATATCTCAATGAACCAATTTCCTTTTTTTATCAGCAACAGAAAATTTCATTGATTTAAAAAATGATTTTTTTAAAATACAAAGTGTGCAAAGCACCCTTCTTTTGTCATAGGCTAGGACTAGTTACCTCATCCACAATCAATGAACCAATTGTCTTTCCTGTGAATCTTTATTCACTAATGTTAGGACATAGTAGTTCTGCCCCTGGTTTCAGTGAGCCATGTTGAAAAGTTACTGAATATTTTTCCCATGTCTTTTTGTCCAAAATTTCAGAATTAGTTATGTAAGAATATTTTGGAATAATTAACATAAATTTTGAAACGTTTCAAAATAACCAAAATTTCCATTAACAAGTTTTGGTTTTCAGTTGGCCTTAATGGTCATTCAAGGTATTTATTTTGGATTTTCAACTATCGCATTTGTCCAAGGGGCCAAAATAGCCAAATTTTCATTCTTTAAAAACCTTAATAAAGGATTAACTTTCATGTATTTGATGTGATAAATATGGATTCCAGTAAGTAGTAACTTAGCCTCAAAAGATGAGGCTAGAAAAGACTGTCCATGTCAACAGTCCTAACTCAGGATATATTTTTAATTACGGGAATTTGTGGACTGCAAATAGTGATCAACCATCAGAGTTAAAGCTTGACTGTGTAGACCCCACATATTGAGTTGCCCAAGTGTCTAGTATTTTTGGTTCATGTCTCATTTGTTTTGGTTTAAGCATGACTTATTTATAGTTGTGTCTTTGATTTACAGAAAGAGGGCCAATTTTACCTTTTTGGTTTACTATTTCAATGTAAGGGTATTTTAGGGGATAAAATTAGTAGATTTTAATGTCGCTAATTAGTCTCACTGAAGCAAGGGAGTTACCTTAGAAGTTTTGTAGGCTTTATGGGAAATTATATTCTCCTAAAGTTAGTGTCCAGACTGTTTGCCTTACAAATGTTGTTCTATTATCTGGTTTATTCAATAAATCTCTGAAGTTATTCTAATTTTCTCTATAGCTGACTGCTATAGGGAGGGTTATCTATCTTAACTTCTGCGTTCTTTTTTTGGTAAATAACTTTTGTGTTCTTAGATTGATTTCTAGTAAGTAGTTCTTTTATAAGTTTTCTGTTTTAGAGAATTTTTTGTTGTTGAGAAGACTTTATGATTCTGCAAACTTATTAACACATAATAATTCACCATTCATTAACATCACTTATATGAAAATACATTATCATGTTATGTGCTCAATTTCAATCTCTGTACCTTATTGTCATGATGTCTGAAACGGACAAATGTGGGTTTCTTGGACTAGTTACATAGACTAATCTGAAATACTAGGTGATTATAAACATCACTACTATTTCTAGTTCAGTTGAAAAGCCTTCTTATGTGTTTATTTTTTTCTCTACCATGCTTCATGGACCCTTCTAGTGTTTGGGTTCTTTTTTCTATTCCAACTATGCATCTGTATTTCTTTCTAGACATGTGCTTCCAGGTGTGAAATTAATATACAGAAATCTAGTCACTGGTCGAAAGCTTCTTGCTTGGATCAGATCTCAGTCCTTTTACTCTGAATAAAGCTTGAATAATGTTTTATCATAAAAGAAAAAATCAAGTTGATTTGGTTCTTAATCTTAACTTTGCTTGCTATAGACTGAGGTGGATTTTCTTCGACTTGATAAGACAATTAGATGCTGAATTTAGCCTGTTAATTTGGATAACATATAAATTTTGATATTGTTCCTCGTGCAAAATATCCAGATAGGTGGAGTAGAAACTGTTACTCTAGGAGATGAGGAAGCCCGAGCAAGACGTTGCCAGAAAAGCATACTCGAGAGGAAAGCTCCTCCAACATTTCCTTTTCTGATTGAGATGAGGGAAAGGCATTACTGGGTTACTCATCGTGTATGTTGTACAGACTGTTCTTTTCTTTGTTGTTCTCATTATTTTCCTATCACAAGTCAGAAACTTATGTAAAAACCCATGGAAGCATTCTATGTGACATAACATCAGCAAAAGAATCAGTTGTCTAAAAGAAACATGTCATCCTCTGAGTCCAACCTGTGTCTATGGCAGACATACTGGAGTTGTTGAAAGGAGCTCTTTTGGGGATGATTTGACCCAATTAGGTTTATGTAATTTACCCATACTTATATGCACCAGTTGATTTGCTTATGTTTAGGTATAGATTGGTTTGTTTGGATCTGATTGGGTTGATTTTGGACTTCAAGATCATTGATATGAACTGAAGCATGATGTTGTCTAACATATATCTGCACCAGTTCCTGTTCCCATCCTAATGTCTACATTCAGAATGATCTATTGCAGTTTCAATAAGCTATTCAATAAGCTATTCTTGTGACAATCTATGGGCCGAGTTCAGCCAACTACATGAAAATGGTACTTGGGAGGTGGTGGATTTGCCTGAAGGGAAGGATCCAGTTGGATGCAAGTGGGTTTTTACCATTAAATACAGGGCAGATGGGACTATTGAGAGGTACAAGGCCAGACTTGTTGCAAA